CATCACACACCAGGAAGTCGGCGCCGGGATGGAGTGGGCAGGCGATGAGATTCAGGTGATGGGGGACTGCTGTGGAGGGCGTGGGCACATGGGATCGGGCCTGGGGGCTCCCGAGGAGGGCAGTGCTCCCTGAGCTGTGGCTCTGAGTACCAGGCGGCCTGGGGGATCGGGCAGCTGTGCCCGACTGCCTGTGGGCTGCCCAGCACATCAGAAGGCGAAAATGGAAATATTCGGAAAACTTATTGACAAGAAAACTGCAGCAGCAGGCCCAGATCTGGGCAGAGCCAGGCTGGGATCTGCTCCCCCCAGCCCCTAAGTCAGGGTCCTCAGGCCTCCATGCCCTTCTCAAACACCAAACGTATGCGTTGAACTGTGTCCCCCAAAATTCATATGTTAAAGTCCTAACCCCCTGGGACCTCAGAGTGTGACTGCATTTGGAAATAGGGTGTTTACAGAAGTACTCAAGTTAAAACGAGGTCGCTAGGGTGGGCCCTGATCCAATAGGACTAGTGTCCTTGTAAGAAGAGGAGATCTGGGGCCGGCCCAGTGGCATACTGGTTAAGTGCGCACGTTCCGCTTCAGTGGCCCGGGGTTTGCTGGTTCAGATCCCGGGTGCGGACATGTTACCACGTGGCAAGCCACGCTGTGGTAGGCGTCCCATGTATAAAGTAGAGGAAGATGGGCATGGATGTTAGCTCAGGGCCAGTCTTCCTCAGCAAAAAGAGGAGGATTGGCAGCACATGTTAGCTCAGGGCTAATCTTCCTCAAAAGAAGAAGAAGAAGAAGAGGAGATCAGGACTCAGACACGCACAGAGGGACGACCGTCTGAGGACCCTGGGGGAAGACGGCCATCCACACGCCCAGGAGAGAGGCCTAGGGAGTCACCCACCCTGCTGACACTTTGATCTTAGACTTCCAGCCTCCAGGACGGGGAGACAATGAACGTCGTTGTGTAAGCTGCCCAGGGGGTGCTGAGTGTCATGGCCGCCCAGGCAAACTCACAGAACCAATAAACAAATCACAAGGTGTGATACTGTGATTTGTAATGACCTGAGCCAGTACCTGGCACAGAGATCCTAATGCCCTTGGAATCCCCAGTGTTGAGAGGGATCACGGCGTCTTTTGTTATGTTAATGAGGTGACTTTTGGGCCCCACCCAAGGATGGGGCTGGATGCCAGGGCCACCAACCGGGAGGTTCGGGGGTTGAAACTTTCAGTTGGACTCCCTGACTCGGGGAGGAGAGAGGAGAGCATCAGCCACCTGAGGCCAATGATTTCATCAATCATGCCCACATAGTGAAGCCTCCATAAAACCCCAAAGGACGGTTCAGAGAACTCGCGGGCTGGGGAACACGTGGAGATTTGGGGGAGTGGTGCCCTAGGAGAGGGCATGGAAGCTCCGAGCCGTTCCCCACACCGGGCCCTGTGCATCGCTTCGTCTGCTTGTTCTGAGTTACATCCCTTCACACTGGAGCGGTGATCCAGCAGATAGTTTTCCTGAGTTCTGTGAGCAGCTCTAGCAAATTAATTGAGCCCAAGGAGGGGGTCGTGGGAACCTCGGAACTCAAGCCGGCTGGTCAGAAGCACAGGGGACAACCTGGACTTGGGACTGGCATCTGAAGTGGAGGGGGCAGGCTTGTGCCCTTAACCTGTGGGATCTGACGCCGTCTCCAGGGGGTTGGTGTGAGAACTGAGGTACTGAGGTGAACTCAGGACACCCAGCTGGTGTCGGAAGATTCCTTGTTGGGTGTGTGGGACCCCCCCCCCCCGACACACACACAGTGGAATTGGGTCCAGAACCTCATTTACAAGCCCTGCCTTCTGCTGAAGAAGGCAAAGGTATGGGTTTCTCTTTACTCAGGCTTCTGTTCAAATTGGTGAAAACAAAACCATTTGGGTCCAACTCGGGGAAGGGAGCCCCTCTCCCCGCTAGATCCACTGACTCTCTGCGGGGTCATCTGCTGCCAGGCTGGAGCTGGGTGGGTGGGCGTGCCTGGACACTAAGTCCGCCCAGCTGGTTTCCTCTGTGAACCGCCTCCCCGCCCTGCCCCTGCCGCCCTCTCCCTCCATCCCCACAGCTTTTTCGGCCACCCCCCCCCCCCCCCCCGCCCCAAAGTCTGGAACTGCCAGCCCTCCAGCCAGCTGTCCCCAGACTCCTTGGCTGCCGCGGTGCCGTCCACCGCACATCAGAACCTGCTGGGGGCTGGCCAGGGACAGCTGCAGGAGTGGACTGGGGGGAGGATGACGCCCCGGGGAAGGCAGGCAGCTCCCTGAGGAGGCCAGGGCACCACAGCATCGCTCCTCAAGCTGCCCTCGCCCACAAGCCCACACAGCCAACACCCCTGGCGTGGGCTTGGCCTGCTCTGCGGAGCGCTGGTGCCAAAGCCCTCGACCCTGGCTGCCCTTCTGTCTCGGGGAAGTCCCAGGGCAGGTGGGCAGCGTGGCGTTCGTCATCAGGAGCAGCAGCACTGCCGTCACTTAGAGGCCACTGCCTGTGTGCCCACTGGACACTACCCCACTCACCCCTCAGCGGCTGTCCACCATCATTCCCATTTTACACATGAGAACACTGAGGCGGGAGAGAGGAAGTGACCTGGGGACACGGGACAGGAGCTTGTGGGACAGGGACAGGTGGCCCTCCCTGCAGGTCACCACGACTGGCAAAGGAGGGCTTCTTTCCAGGCTGGTGCTGGGGAGCCCAGGTGGTGTGGGTGGGGAGGGCGCAGACCTATGTGCCCGCGTTCTTCTGTGTCTAGAGGGGGTGGAGGGGGAGGAGGAAGGAAGCGGTGCTGAGAAAACCCCTGGACTTGAGGGCTGGAGGGGAGGAGGAGCAGACACTGAAGCGCCCGAGGTGGAGGTGCCCCCTCCCCCAGGCCTCCCAGCACAGGGACAGTCAGGCACTAGGTGGGGGGGGGGGGGGTAAAGGAGGAAGGGGAGGAGGGGAAAAAGTGTGGAGAAAGGGGAGGAGGAGCAGGGGCGGGAGAGTGGGGCATGGAGGAGGGGGAGCAGGAGGAACAGGATGGGGAGGGGGAGCAGGAGGAAGGAGAGGAGAACAGGAGGGAAGAGGGGAAGGTGCGGGAGGAGTAGGGGGAGGAGAGGGAGGAGGAGGAGGTGGTGGAGAGGGGGGAGTGTGGTGGAAGTAGAGTGATGACAATGGCAGTGCAGGGCCTGGGTGGATTAGAAGGGAACAAAGACGGACCGAGGGGGAAGAGAAGCACAGAGGACTGGGGCAGAGGCCATGAGGCTTGAGCACCACCCTGCCAGGTTGGGAGGGCAGGCCCCGGAGCCTTTTCTGTTCCTGGCGTGTCTGTCCTAAGGCTCCTTGGGGTGTGTAGGCTGAAACTCCCTCACCAGGGAAGGCTGTGGCACCAGGTCCAAATACAGGGAAGGAGAGAGGCCAGGTGTGTTGGGGCGGGCAGCTAGCTGACCTAAGGGCAAGGGGCAGAGGAAGTGGGGGACAGAGACCTGAGGCTGGCCAGGACTGCTCTGACTTCTCCCTGCTTCAAAGCCACCAGCTTCCCCAGGGTCCCCCAGCCATCACTCACCCACACCTGCTCACCCATGACCTCTCGCCCTGGGGCCTTTGCACTGGCCAGCCCTTGGCTTGGGGTTCCCATCTCCATGCTGTCCACGTGGAGGCCCCTGAGAGCTCAGCCTGCTGGGGAGCCTTTGGGACCCCTGCTGCCCCAGAGTCCACCCTCTGCACTCCCTGTGGGCTCTTCCTGACTGCCCCAGGGCCTCCGGCCGCGGAGGAATGGGGCTGACAGCTTCAGTGCTCAGAGCGGTGCACAGCTTGGCAGAGCTGGGCAGCTGGGATGGGCCCTGGAAGCCCCCTCCCCTGGTTGGCCCCTCTGCCCAAGGGGCCTTGCGACAGCCCTCGGCCCCTGCCTGGTTGGCATGGCAACAGCCTCCTCCCAGGTTCTGAGAAGGCCCTGGGCTGAGTCATGGGCCCAACTGGGAACATGACAGGGCCTCCCTGCAGGACAGTGGCTCGGGTCCAGGAGGAAGGCTCCGCTGGAGGCAGGCTGGGCTGGGGGAGGGGAGGTGCCAGGTCCCACCTCCCAGAAGCAAGGACTTGCATTTGGGGTCAGGATTGGGAAGGCCTCAAAGGTTGGCTCAAGAACCAGCAGCCCTTCCAGCACATCTCTGCTAGGCCAACCTCTGGGGACCCCTCGGCAGGCATACCCCCCTACTGCCCTGCCCCTGGGGGTTTGCCCGGGTCCCTCCTCGCCTTGGAGGGAGCTCTGGTGAGGATGAGGCTTGGGACACACATGAGGCGGTCTGTCCATCTGTCCCAGGCCTAGTGACGAAGGCACAGTACAAGGGAGGGCTCAGGCTGACACCAGCTTCATGCCCCCACGCAAGGGGCAGGTGCTGGGAGGCCCACCCACACCCGCCTGTCACCTGCCCAGCCTGACACCCTCCCGAGATCAGGCAGGGCCCCATGGGTGAGGGTGGGGCAGGAGGGACACAGCCCCTCCAAGCCCGCCCTCCTCTTGCCCAAACCCTGGCCTCTGGGGGCCCAGTCCCCCTGAGTGAGGTGGGGTACAGATGAGGTGTGGCGGGAAGGGAGATGGGAGCGAGGGGAGTTGGGGTTGCCTCTGTAAGACAGGACGGAATCCAGGAGCACAGGGTCGGGAGGCCTCAGATCCAAGCCCCAGGGCCCGTGGCTGCTCAGCAGTGTCTCCCTTCCACCAGAGCAAGAAGCCACGAGGCCTCCCACCTGGTTCCAGCCTGCACTCTGCCCTCCCAACACAAACCTGTCCCCCTGGGATGCCTCTCCCCCAAATCAGGACGGGGGGGCCAACCTGGGGAAAGAGGATGTGCCACCCGTCCACAGCCCTGCCCGGCCCATCCCCCCACAGGGCACAGCAGGTGGTGGCATCTGGAACAGGGGCCCACCTCTCCCACCCCAAGCACACCAGCCCAGCAGTGCCCGAGCTTGCGGCACACACTTGGAGACACGCACACTCCCGGCCCCAGGAGGAACCACGGCCATCCCCAGCTGCGGTGCGCTTTATTACCACTGGCATCATTAGGACGACGGTGGGAACACAGGAAGACAGCACTCATTTCCAAACTGCCACAGCGGGCAGGTGCGTGCGAGCAAACGCAACCTCCCGCCAAACTCCGAGCTCCAACGACTGCCCTCAGGGTGACCTGGAGCCAGCCCCCAGGGGCAGAGCAGAGGGAGACCTGGGGGCAGGCGGCTGGGCTGGCCCCGGGAGGGAGGACCCCACCTAGCAGGTTCCGCCCAAAATACATCTACACACCTCTGCTACACGCCCCCACACAGTTAGTGTCTTAAATATATATATATGTATTTCATCTGACCTGTGTCGGTTATCAAGTTAAAAACTGACCACTTCTCTTTACATTAACTTCACAGTAACTGTTTCCAGAAGACAATGAATCCAGTGTTGATAGCTCAGGGCTTCCTGCCCCAGGAAAGTAAGTTTCTTCCCCATGGAAACCCCATGGGGAAAACCAGGGCTGCTGCCACATCTCCAGGGATGGGCGGCACGGCTGCCACGGCTGCCAAATTGGCTGGGACCTTGCCATATGTTGGACACACACGCACACACACGGACACCCGATCGTGCCAAGCCTGAGGTCCCAGCAGCCCTTCTGGAGGTGGGGTGTCCCCTTCACCCAGTGCTCTCTGTGGTCCGCAGGCAGCCCAGGGCCTCTGAGCCCCGAGTATCACCAAAAGGCGCTGTGCCATGAGGCTGGCCACATGCCCACCAGGAGAGTGAGGCGCGCAGGGAGACGAGCCGTCTGTCCACCTGCTGCAAAGGCCAGTGGTCCCTTCACTCCAGACAGGGCAGAGGAATAAATATGACATCAAGTGTTGTCAGGAGGAGAGATAATAACTTAAACTTGGTGGACTCTGTCCTCAGTGCCACTTCCAGTTAAAGCAGAAATAGCCCCCATGGTCTGAGGAATCCAGGAGTCCCAGTGGTTCTGCCACCTGCAGGACCCGTGGAAGCTGGGCAGCCCCCCTGTGCCCACCCCTTGGCCACAACTACTGAGGTTCCAGCAGTGGGATGTGCCCAGTGAGCAGGCGGGCAAGGAGGGTGACCGAGCCAACTGCATGTGCGGCAGCCCTGCAGGGTCCAGGAGAGCCAGCCTCCCAAGGCTGTGGGTGAAGAGGGGGGCTGGGACCCCAGGCAAGCAGCCGCCTGCCCTCCCCGTCCCCTTTCTCGACGATGGCCACTTTCACCCTCACCCCACTGTAAGGCAGGGAGAGCCTGCGAACAATACTGCTGGTAAAGAGAGCAGCCTCTGGCTCCCTGCTTGGCGCTCTGGAAATGACCAGCAGCTCCACAGAGACCCCGAACAGGAGAAGGACCCTGAGGGTGAGGTCCACCATGGCCCAGCTGTAGCCTGTGGTACTCCAGGCAGATGGCTGCATTCTCAGGCCCCCTTGGCTCACCCTGGGGACCCTGAGGCGCCCTGGACCCTGTGTGCAGGCGGGGAAGTAGCACAACCCATTGCCCACAGGCAGACATCTGGCAACCTCGGGGAGGCTCTTTCTGCATCTAGAGAATCATTTCCAAATCCCGACTTTCTTTGCTCCGAGTTACAGTGCGGTCAGGATCAAAAGCTCCAGGACACCCACCTCCCACCCCAGGGCTGGTAACTCCGGAGCCACTCAGCTTCTGGCTGGCTCTGCTCCTGCCACGCCGGGGTCCCCACGGGGGGCTGCACCCCTCTGCAACACCAGCGGTGCGCTGATGGCCCCTGCTGGCACTCAGAGTGCCCGGGGCCTCCCCCGCACGGCTGCTGCTGCCACCCAGCAGGAGTGACCCGTTCTGTCCAAGCCCCGTCAGGGACTCACACCAAGGCCTCCGGCGACGTGTGCATCCTTCACCACGTGTGGGGCCAGGCTCAGAAGGGGACCCCTGAGTGTGCAAGTGAGGTGGTCTGGGAAGCTCCAGAGGGAGGACAAATGTGCTGCCTTGCCCCGAGAAGCCTGGGCCCATGCTTGTGGGCCCTTCCGACACCCCTTGGAACTGGCAAGAGGGGACAGAGAGGAAGACAGCGTCAGGTGAGGGCACAGCCTGGGGACAGGAGTGAGTTGGAGAGTAGGCATGGAGGAGGGCTGCCCGTGTCCCTCGGGGTCACCGGGTCGGGGCCACGTTCCAGGGGCAGCAGGATTCTTTCTGGTGGGCAAGCCCAGCCTCAGGGGCTTCCACCAGGCTGAGCGCCCAGTCCCTTGCTCTCCATCCCAGTGCCCCTCTGGGGAGGTCCCGCCCCTCCCTTCCATCCTCAGCCCCACAGGGACGCGTCACACCAGCAGGGACTTGACCAGGCCACAGTGGAACTTGCGGACGTGGCGGTAAAGGTCCCCGGACTGCGTGAAACGGCGCTCACACCAGCGGCAGGCATGCGGCTTCTCACGGGTGTGCACCACGGCGTGGCGGCTCAGGTTGTGGGAGTACTGGAAGCTCTTGCCGCACTGCACACACGTGTAGGGCTTCTCGCCAGAGTGTGTGCGCTCGTGCCTCTTCAGCGTGTACGTGCAGGAGAAGGTCTTTCCACAGAGCGGGCAAGTGGGCACGGCGCCGTCGGGTGAGACTCGGGCCCGGGTGCCATCCCGCTCGCGGAAGTGGCCGCTGAGGTGCAGCTGCAGCACGTGGGCGCTGGGGAACAGCCTGCTGCACAGCGGGCAGAGGCAGAGGTGCCCGGCAGGCCCCAGCTCCGCCCTGCTTGCTCCCCGCTGGGCATCCAGCTCCAGCTGCCCGCTGTCCGCCATGCCGACAGGCAGCGGCTCCAGGCCCCCTGCCTGGCACTCAGCTGCAGGAACACAGGGTGGCTGCAGGGGGCTGTGGGGGCTCTGAGGGCTGCTGCTGTCCTCCCGTTCTGACACTGAGTCCGGCTCATCCTTCACTAGTTGCTGGGCCCCTGGCTGCATCCGGCCGCAGGGGGGTGTCTGGAGGACGAAGGGTGGGTGGACCAGCTCTGGCCTCGGGCTGGGCTTCACTGACAGGTCCAGGGCCAGGTCTGACTCTCCTGGGGCCTGCCAGGGAGGAGGTCCCAGTGCTCGTGGAGGGAGGGCTGCTTTGACCCCAGCCTGGGGGAGCCTGGCCTTCTGGGCAGCTGGGCAGAGCTCTGGCGTCCAGGTGGGCAGGGAGTATGGGGACTGGCCAGGCGGCTCTGCTCCAGGGGCGGGCGTCTCCGGCTGCAGCGCGTGGTCCTTCTCCCTGAGCCTGCCCTTGCAGACCTTGACGATGTCGTACATGTGCAGGTAGCTGGCGGCAGCCAGGACGTCCTCGACCGGCAGGCTGCGCAAGTCCAGGCGGCCCTCATACATGAAGTTCAGCAGACGGCCGAAGGCGGGCGCCGTGACAATGTCGCCGTTGAGCCGCACCGTGTCGCGGCTGCCCGCGGGCCGGTCCCTATAGAAGAGATGGAAGTAGACGCTGCACGCGGCCAGCACGGCGCGGTGGGCCGGGAAGCGCGCGTCGCCCACCAGCACGGTGCAGTCGCACAGGAAGCCCAGCTCGCGCTGCTGCCTCAGGCGGCCCAGCAGCCGCCCGCCGTGCTCCGGGAACTCCATGCCGCCGCCGTCATCACCTGGGCATAGACGGGACGCCCGTGAGCGCGCCTGGAGACGCCGCGGCCGCCGTTCACCCCCGGCCGCCCGACGCGCCCTTCCCGGGGGCAGGCAGGGCGCAGAGAGGGGCGCGCGGCGCTGTGCGTAACCGCCCGTCCCGAGCCGCCCTGGGCACCTGCCTCGAGCAGGAAAAACTCGATCGAAAGTAAACAGAAGCCGCTGCCGCGGGGGCGGGTCCCGGGGCGCGGGCAGAGGGGGCCAGAGCAGCGAGAACCTGCGCTTGCCTCCGCCCGGGGAGCCCCTCCCTGCCCGGGCGCCCCTGAACTTCACTCTCGGGCTGCCGCCCGCCGCGTCCCCCGACGCCGGAGTCGCCGCCGCCTCCGGCCCGCGCCTCCACGCCGCCTCCAGCTGCCGCCCGGCCCGCCAGATGCCGCCGCCGCCGCTGCGGGCCCCATTTATGGCAGCGCGGCCGCGGGGAGCGGGCCAGCGAGCGGGGCGGGCAGAGCCAGGCGCCCGCCCCCCGCGCTCACCTCCGCCGCCCGGAGCTCCTCTCCGGCCGCCGCTCGCGCCGCGCGCCCTCCCCAGTGTGGTACCGGCGCGCGCGGAGCTACGGGCAGCGCGCCCCGGCGGGGAGGGCGCGGGGACGGGGAGGGAGCCGGGCGGGGCGCGCTCCAACTTGGTCGGCCCGGCACCGCCCGCCGCTCGCCCCGCCCCGGAGAGAGCGAAACTCGGGGCGGGGGCTGGAGGGGGCGGGCCGAGGCGACTTCCCGGAGCGACGGAACCGCTGAGGTCACTCTCGCCGCCCCTTCCCTGTCCGCCCCGCCCGGCCGGGCCCCGCGCGCCACCAGCTGGGGCGCTGGGGTGGGAGCGGATGCGGGGCGCGGCGGGGAAGGGGGCTGTCTCGCGATACTTGCCGCCTCGGCTTCGGTGTCCCCCCCCACGGGGTGCCAACTGCGCCCGTCTGCTAAGGGACCCTTTCTGAAGACCAGCTCCTTTCCCGGCCCGCGCTGGGGCAGTCACCTGAGGGCTCAGCCGGGATCACGGCCTCCTCGCGGGGCGCTGGCCCTGGGATGGAAGAGGGGCACATGAGGGGAAAGTCATAAATTTTGAAGATGTGACACTCCCTTCTTGGTTGAAAGCCTCTTCTTAATTTAAGTTAATTTAGATGGGGCCCTCTTCCAAACACACAAGCTGGATCTCGACCTTGGAGTCCAGAACAGGGCACTCTCACCCTCTCAGCAGACCCTAGCTCAGTGTTTGCTGGGGTCCAGGCATACGGAGCTGAGTGCCGGAGAGGCCCCGGGACAGGGCACATCCCAGCAGACGTGGCAGGGCGCGGGGGATAAACGCTGTGATAGAGGGGGGCCAAGCACCACCAGAGCCCAGAGCAGGTGGGAAAGGATTCAAGGAGGGGGAAGACACTGTGAGGGGCCAGGTTGGCAAGCTGGGGACAGGGTATTTCAGGTGCCAGAGCACCGTGAAGATGGGAGGGGACAGGTAGGTCTGCAGGGAGATGCACACAGCCCAAGAGACATGGAAGGCAATCATCTTGGAGAAGCTGGGGCCCCCAAGGTGGGTATCTGGCTGGCTGCAGTCTTTTCCCAGGGACACAAGGAATGGTGCTGCCCTGGATGGAGCAGGACTGCGGCCCTCTGGACCATTGCTTGCTGTACCTTCCCGACAGTCCCGTTAGTTAGAAGCCCTTGCTACTACACCTGCGTTGGTGGGGCAGGTTAGGTAAGGTGCTTAGCACACAGCAGGCACTAAGTCGCTGAACCAGGATTCCAAGCCCAGCAGGCTCCTGAACTCCCACCTGCACTGTCGGGCAGCCCTGGAGATGCAGGACGGGCTGGGGAGGGGGAGCCCCAGCCAGGAGCAGAAAGGAGACCTTGATTAGGGGGCGGGGGTGGGGGTGGCACTGGGGGAGGGCCTGGATGACACAGGATGGGACAACAGTAGGCCAGGTGTACGTGGGCAGAGGAAGCTGCAAGAGGAGTGGGGAGCCCTCCAGCCGTGCTCCTTGACGCTCCCGAGGTGTAAGTGTGAGATGGTGGAGGGGCAGCCGTCCAGGGGTCCTGGTCAGACCTGGTGGGCTGGGGGCCTGAGGAGTGGCCCCAGGCCCTGGAGCCCACCACAATTAGGATCTAAAGTCTGTAAGAAGGAAAGCCGCGTTCTTGCCCTAGAAAAGTATTCCTTGTTTGTCTGAAATTTAAATTTGACTGGGTATCCTGTATTTTTTGCTTCTTAATAAACCTGGCAACTTCAGTGTGGAGCTCTGGACTCACCCTGCACCCAGCCACTGAGACATCCCTGGCTACTGCTGCCCTTCCTCTTGGGATCCCTTCTGAGAAGGGCCACCCCTCCACCCCCTCGCCAGTCCCCAGCAGGAGGAGCTGACTTCGAGTCCGGTCAGAGTGAACCCAGAGGTCTTGCCAGCGTCAGAGCTCTGCCCCTGCCCCCTCCCAACCTCGGGCATGACCCTTAACCTCCTTGAACCTTAATATCCTCATCTGCAAAATGGGCAGATTCACCGCAGGGCCTGGCCCAAAGCAAGACCTCGGGGTCTCAGGCAGCAGTCCCCTGGCTCTTCCCACTCCTGTCTCTGCTCCACCAGCCCCCCGAGAGTGGTTTTTCCTGACCACCCTGCCAAGGTCCCGCGAGCCCATGTTCTCCATTCCTCATCCTTCTCCAGAGCATGCCCCGTGCCATGTGCCCATGCCATTCACGGCTCCCCCGCAGTACTCTTGGGGCTAAGGAGCCGGCTGGGCACAAAGTGGGGTTTAGTCAATGTCTCTTGCATGAATGCATGGTGTGGCTTCTGTGAGGGACATCCACTGGGTGCTGCCATCTGAATTCCCACTGCTCTGTGGCACCACATGTGCCCATTGCAGCCTCCCTGGGCAGGACCTTGAGCCTGCAGAGGCCAGCCTTGCTGGGGCTCTGGGCCAACAGCTCCCCCCACAGGCTGCTGGCGGGGAGTGAGGCCTGGGCTAGGCAGAGTCCCTGCCTGGCTGGTGGGACAAAGTGCTCCTTGGGGGCCAGACAGAGGCTGAAGCAAGTTAGCACACTGCCTGCAAGAGCCTGGGGCTGGGGCTGGGAGGCCGGCCCAGGTAGGGACAGGCTAGGGGAGGCACGTCACTGGGGGAGGGGACAGTGGGAGAGAGGCCCCTGTACCTCTCAGGTCGGAAGGTCTGAGTAAGTCCTGTCTCTGTACCTGCTCCCCCAGGAGGGGCTGTCCCAGGCAGCCCTGAGATGGCACTCAGGAGCCGGCCATCCCTCGGCCCTCGGCTCCCCTCTCTGGCCCTGTGTGGTCTCAGCCACAGGGATGACAGGAGGCTGTCGCAGTGGTGCGGGCAGAGCCTTCCCGGATGCAGCCGACCAGGCGGCCATCTGGCCTGGGAGCTGCCCGGAGGCCCCGCCCTGCAGCTGCTGCAGAGACTAGGCAGCCCGGGGCAATGGCCCACAAGTCCTGCTCGAAGGCCGGCAGCTGCAGGAGGTGACAGGCTAGAGGCGCCTGTGCCCTGGGAGGGGGCAGGCGCCCACCCTCCTCAGGGGCCAGTGCAGCAATTTTTGTTGGAAACATCTGGCCAAGGGGGTCCCCAGAAGCTGCAGCAGTGGCCAGGGCGAGCTGATGCGCTGGGTCCTCTCCTTGCCATTCTGTCTAGGGGGGCGAGGGGGGTGTTCTGGAGGAGAGGGGCTCTGCTTTCTCCCCGGGAGGCCGGAGGAGGAGGGCGCTGGCTCTGTGCGCAGGAATAACCCAGTCACTGAGCTGGCTTCCGCGCAGACAGGACTGGCGCTGCGTGGATGGGGCGTGGGGCTCACAGCAGGTCACGGGCACTGTGGGGGCGCTAGAGCTTGGTATGGAGTAGGCAGGAGGCCTCCTGGAGACGGGCCAGCGGCCAAGAAGCCGGGAGGTTTTGGACCACCGAGATGCAGCCTCCTGGCCAAGATGCCGTTCCTCAAATGGCCAGCAGGCCCAGGAGCGCCTGGGGAGTTGACACATTTTCCACAAGACGGTGCCCTCCTGGTCCCCTAGTGGCCACTGGCTGCCACCCTGCCCTGTCCTCTGGTCCTCTGCCTCTTCAGCCTTCTCCATAGTAATGCCAGACCAGGATGCGGGGTGGACACAGAAACCCTTCCTGGGAGAGCAGTGGGCAGGTGGGGGGTCCATGGAAGGTGTGCAGGGTGAGCAATGGACAGACATCGGACATCTGGGGTGACCCTCAGGTCTGGCGTCTGGTCCCAGCGGCATGGACTGTCGGGGCCTTTCACTTGGCCCCCTGGGAGCAGGGCCTTGCCTGGGGGTACACAATCAGAGCTGGGACAGCTGCACTGTGGTGGGAGGGTGGGGGGCAGAAGCGCCAAGGGGAGAGGCGGGGAACTGGGAGTCCCCTTCCTGAGGAGCGAGTGTCCCCTGAGCAGGAGAGACAGTCCTTCTCTGAGGAGCGTGCTTCTTTGGGTCAGCCCCAAGAGGCAGGGATGGGGCCCCAGTTTCGGCTGAAGACACTGTCCTGGATGCTCAGCTGGGCTGGACTGCCTCTGACCCAGATGAAGGGTCCATGCCCCCTCAGGCTGAACTGTGACCCTGGATGAAGAACAAAAATCCCCGCCCTCCCCGCAACACATGCCAACCCCAGGACAGCAACTCACAGGAGTCTTCCTTTCACAGAAAGACAACTATCTACTGGGAGGCCTCAGGGTTGGGGGGAGGGGAGGCTGCTGGAGAAACTGCTGGCTCTAGCTGAGGGCCAGGGCCCGGGAGGGGTGGGGGTGGGGGGCAGTTGTCTACAGAGTCCTGGGAATCCGAAGGAGGGGGCTAGTCCCTCTGCCTCGCCAGCCCTTAGCTGCCCGCCAGTGGACTGTGGGTGCCCAGGGCCATTCACACAGCAGGGAGGGTCCAGGCTGCCTGGGCAGCCACAGCCCCTCTGAGTCTGCCACCCAGCCCCCGCCCTGCCCAGAGTGTCTGTGCTCAGGCCCCAGCAGGCCCCCAAGGCCAGGTGTGTTTCATGAAGCCAGGTGCCAGGTGGACGCCCCTCCACTGGTCCCTGTGGCCCTCTCTGTCACCACGTGAAGTCCCCATCCACTTTTGTAGCCGCCGTGTGTCAGATCTTCTTTCTTGGGGAGCGGGCCTCCTGGAAGATCCCCCTCAGGGCCTGAGGGCTCCGCCCAGGGCCAGGTCCACAGCAGGCCCTCAGCACAGAGACAGATGACTGATTCCCTAGCCTGCCCTCTCCTGTCCACGGTGCAGCCAGCCTTCCAGGCCCACCTCAAACCTGACCTTGTCCAGCCTCCTGCATGCCCTCAGGGACCTGCACGCCCTCAGGGACCGGCACTGTGCGCTGGCCGGCCAGGGGCCTTGGGCGGTGTCTTTTAGGAAAATCTTGGCTGCTCCCTCCCCTGCCCCCAGCAGGGGACTGCCCACTTGGGGCGCAATCTGAAAGTCCAATTAACCTACCCCCTACTGCAACCCCCACCCAATGGAGGCTCAAGCCCGGGATCGGTCCCAGCCCGGCCCTTTTAATAGACTCGTGGCAGAAGCGGGCCGAGAAGTGCGGGCTCCCTGGACAATCCAGGAAACTGAGGCCAGAGGGGACGTGGCCCGCCCCGGCCCCAGCGGCGGCCGGCGGCCGGCTCCGTTAGCGGGCCAGCCCTGCCCGGGCCCCCGGAGCCGCCGACCCGCCGACCCGCCCGCCACCCGCCGCGCGCTCCCGGCGCCGCGCCCTCGCCCGGGCCGCGGTGGGGGCGCCCCGGGCGGCGGAGGCGGATGTGGGCGGGCGGCGGGCTGGGCGGCGCGGGCGGGGAGAGGGCGGGCCGGCGGCGGGACCGAGCGCGGCGGGCGGCGGGCGGCCGGCCCAGCGCAGCCAGCGCAGCCAGCGCAGCCGGAGGACGCGAGCCGGCGGGCGCACCGCAGCGGCCGAGGCGCGCGAGGCCGCCCGAGCAGCCGGCCGCCGCCCAGCCCGGTCCCGCCCGCGCGCCCGCCGGCCCGGCCCGCGGGGATGCGGAGCGGCGGGCGCCGGAGGCCGCGGCCCGGCTAGGCCCGCGCTCGCGCCCGGACGCGGCGCCCGGTGAGTCCCGCCCGCCGCCGCGCCGCCGGGGCCCGGATTTCCTCCCGCGCCCGGCCGCTTTGTTCCCGGCCGCGGGGCCGGGGCGCGGGCCGCGCGCCGCCGGAATGGAGGAGCGGGAGCAGGAAGTGGCCGAGCGCGGCCTGGGCGGGGAGGGCGCGGGCCGGGCCGGCGCCGGGGGTGCGGGCCGCCCGCCCGGCCTCCCGCCTGACCTTGGGGAAGCGGCCCCGCCGGGCGAGGCCGGGGCCGGGGCGGAGGGGCGCGGCGGGCGCCGGGGCCGCGGGCGGGGGCGCAGGCCCCTGCTCGGGGGCTGCCGGGCGCCTGGCCAGCGCGGCCGCGGCGCACAGTAGGCGCCCAGGGGCCGTCGGAAAAGGCTTGCCCGGCCCTCGGTCAAGTTTGTGGGTGGGCCCTTGGAAGGAGACCTCATTTTCCCATAGACAAAAAGTTGTACATGGTGGCGAGGTGCCCGGGCCAGCCCACAAAGGGCTGTTACGCTCCTGGGCCCTGAATCTGCTTCCTGACCCGGGAGGGCTGTGGAGGTGCTGCCCACCCTCTCCAGAGACTGGGGCCCGGAGGGCGATGGGGCTCCCTCTCCTCCTGCCCCTAGTTTGGGGGAGCCAGGGCAGCTGGTGGGCTTGGTCCGCGGCCACACCGGTTCCTGCTTACTGCCCTGGTGGACAGGCTGGGGGGCATGGGCCTGTGCTCTGTGGCCAGGGCCCCCGACATTCACTCCTGCCGCCCCCCTCGCTCCAGGCCACTCCTGACTGCTCTGCGCCCCTG